GGGAGGCGCAGCAGCTGGAGGTTCTGGGTAAGCCCTGCCAGGGCAGGGAGGCGCAGCAGCTGGAGGTTCTAGGTAAGCCCTGCCAGGGCGGGAGGCGTGCACAGACGAAGGAAAGAGCTGCCGTCTAGGCCACACGGGGGTGGGAGCAGCGAGGCTTCCAGCCCAGGTTCTCAGCTCCCAACCTGTGCACACGAGACAGCAGGCCCCTGCGTGCCTCCGGGGTCCAGCAGGAGAAAGTGTGCCCTGATGTGGTTGGACATGAGTGTGCACAAAGCCCCTAGAGAGCCCATGCTCGTGATGGGAATCCTGCTGGAGAGAAGGCTTGGTGGTCGGAGCGCTTGCTAGGCAAGCATGAGAACCATAGTTTGGATCCCAGAGCCCATGTACATGGCAGTTGGGCATGGCAGTCTACTTGGGTCCTTGCCTTGGAATGCAGAGAGGGGGTCCCCAGAGCAAGTGAGCTGTTAAAACTAGCTATATCGGTGAGCTCTGGGTTTGATTGAGAGACCCTGCTTCAATGAATAAAATGGAAGGACTGAGGATGATTCCGTATGCAGACCTCAGACTTCCACATGTACGCACATGTGGACATACATGAGCAAACATGCTACAGGCACAGCACACACACACACACACACACACACACAGAGAGAGAGAGAGAGAGAGAGAGAGAGAGAGAGAGAGAGAGAGAACATGGGGGTGGGGAATGAAATATCCTGGCCTTGTAAAAACCACGCTGACGGGACTGAGGACTTTGCTGAATTGACAGAGTGCTTGTCTAGCATGTAACACTTGGGAAAGGGTGCAGGAAGGTCAGTTCAATGTCCTCAGTCACATAGTGAGTTCAAGGCCAGCCTAAGCTACATGACACACCAGAAGAGGTAGAAAACGAATCCCAGAAAGGCACTGGCCGCTGTAGTCCCTATTTGAGAGGCTGAGGCAGAAGGAATACAAGTTCAAAGCCAGCGTGGGTAACGAGAGACACTCCAGCCTGTGAGACTGAAACCACACAGCCCAGGAATGGCTGAGTCTATTTCCCGGGGAGCAGCCCACCCCGATCCCCAGTGTATCTGAGAGGTCACTGATGGATACAGCTGTCACCCTGCCACAGGGATGGGAGGCTCTGAGAGGTGAAGTGAGCAGGCCAAGGTCACACAGCTTGTAGTGCAAGGAAGAACAGAGCCCTAAATGGCTGTGTCCACTGAGGCCCTAACTCCAGGCATGCCGCCATCAGGCGGCTCTAACTACCTCCACTGAAAGTCTTCCTCCCGCCTCAGTTCCTCCTCAGATCACCGGCCCTCAGGAACCGCTCACAGCAGCCTCCGTGGTCCAGGGTGGAAACACCACCCTAGACTGCAATGCCACAGGGAAGCCCCTGCCAGTGGTGACGTGGGAGAGGAATGGTCAACCTGTCCAGATGGAACCTGGCCTGTGGCTTCAGAATCAGAACCACAGCCTACACGTGGAACAGGCACAGGCCTCCCATGCCGGTGGCTACAGCTGCGTGGCTGAGAACACAGCTGGGCGTGCCGAGAAGAGGTTCACACTGTCTGTTCTGGGTGAGGACCGATGGGATGGCCGTGGGGAGGATGGAGCCGCTGGCGGGGCTGGGCCGGAGAGAGTAAGGTCAGGCAGACTCAGGCACAGCCCTAGACTCAGGCACAGCCCTAGAATCAACCATGCTATAGACATTGGGGCTTCTTCAGTCTGGGCTCTGATGAGGGCTGCCACTGGGGACCGTGGCCACTGGGGTCCTCCTGAGTGCTGGTCTCAAAACACCCAAGTCCTCCCTTCCCCCTGACTCCTTTCCCCTCGCTCCCTCCCTCCCTCCCTCCCTCCCATGCTGGCCTTTTCTCATCCTATTCCTGGTAACCCATGTTCTATGCGGCTGGTGGGATGTTCTGGGAGGATCTGGGGTAGGAAAGCTGGAGAGACCACACACATTATAGAAGAATCAAGATACCTGCCTGGAGGAGGTGGCCCTGGGGCTGCAGCTGAAGGACTAAGTGGGAGTCGGGTGGCTGCTGGGTGTATAGGAAGAGAGGGGTCCTGGAGCCCATTACCACCCCTGCTGTGTACCCGGATCTATTTCAGGAGGAGGCAGGGTGTGGTCCCGGGGAAGGCTGGGAAAGGGGTGAGCGTGGTGGGTTGGGAAGGTGCCTCTCATCAGGCCCCACTTCTGGGGGTCTAAGCTTTCCATGCCTCGTCACCCCAGGGGAGATCTTTCCAGAAGGGCAGCATTGCCACTTCATCCGGAGCACAGGTTGGAGGGTGGGTGTGGGCTCACCTTGGTAAACTTTCCACCCTGCTCGGCTCCTGCCCCATAATGGGTGCTGGAAGAGGGAGTTTTGTGCATTTGGCCAGGTATAGCTCAGTTGGAAGAGTATTTTAGCATTCTACCAACAAAGTCCTGGGTTCCATGACCAGAATGAAATAAACCAGGCATTGTGGTACACTCTGTCATCCCAGCATTTGAGGGGTAGAGGCAGGAAAGTGAGGGATTCAAGATCATCCTTGGCTACATAGCAAGTTGGAGACCAGCCTGGGATACATAAGACACTGTCAGAAGAAGAAGAGGAGGAGGAGGAGAAGGAGGAGGAGGAGGAGGAGGAGGAGAAGAAGAAAAAGAAGAAGGAGAAGGAGAAGGAGAAGGAGAAGGACAAGGACAAGGACAAGGAGAAGGACAAGGAGAAGGAGAAGGAGAAGAAGATTGTTTATATTCTTCTGAAAGGGTGGGGAAACTGAGGCCTGAGGTTCCTGCCTGATCCCAAAGCCCACTTGTGGCCACATTAGTACCCATGTGGATATCACTCCTTTGATGAAAGCAGCTGGGACCCTCCCAGTCCTCGATTCCCCCCAGTTCACGAGTGGGGCTTGGAGTCCTTGGGCAGACAGAGTGGAATGGACAGGAGTGCTGTCTGCCCTCTGAATGCAGTTCTCTCTGGTCTAGTACCTCCTCAACTCACTGGAGACTCCGACTCACTGACTAATGTCACTGCTACCTTGCATGGCTCCTTGACACTGCTCTGTGAAGCTGCAGGGGTCCCGCCCCCGACAGTCCAGTGGTTTCGGGAGGGACAGCCCATCAGCCCTGGAGAGGACACCTACCTCTTGGCAGGTAAGGCACCAAGCCAGATGTGTTTCCAGATCAGTCTGTTAGATTCCTATGACCTCTGACCCCGAGCTGCCAGGCCTCAGTGACCCATCAATTGTGGGATTGCAAACACATTTCCCACTTGGAAGAGGTCACCAGATGCATTGTATAGACAGGAACAGAGAAACTGGAACTAGGCCAAGCCCAAAGGGGACTGGCAATCAATTAGTAATGTCTGCCATGAGTGTAGGAATAGTGGTGATGATATGTGTGTGTTATCTGCCCCAGGTGGGTCTTACAAGATCTGTGATTTCTCTGTGAGGAAATAGCTCTGCATCAAAAGGAAGAAGCCTTTTTGGAGGGAAGGAGGGGGACTCTTGGAACAAAATGAGCATCTGAAAAAAGCCAGGACTATGTAGCTCACTGTTGCCTCTTAGCCCTAGCCCAGAGCCAGCAAGAGCCAGCATGTCAGGTCCTTCTTGCCATAACAAGTCCTCACTTTTATTCTGATATTGTGCTCTATCCTTTGTTTACTCTCAAGGGCTCAGGTTCCCTCCTAGAGGAATGGGACCTTGGGAGGCAGAGGGTTGTATAGCAGTGCTTGACATCATGAGCTGAGAGAGGCTGCTGAGCCCATACCTTCCCTTCCTTCCCCAGGTGGCTGGATGCTGAAGATGACCGCGGCCCGGGAGCAGGACAGGGGGCTCTACTCATGCCTGGCCAGCAATGACGCTGGAGAGGCACAGAGGAACTTCAGTGTAGAGGTCCTGGGTAAGACACAGCTCTAGGTTCTTAGGCGCATAAGAAGTTCTTCCTGCGGGAGGAGGCTGGGCCCTGTTTTCTTTGCTTCATCAGAACCTGCACTCTGGGGCGGGGGGGGGGGGGGGGAGGATGCTCAATCAACTTGAGGGCCTGAGTTTGATCCCCAGATCCCAAGTAAAGGAAAAACAATCAGGGTGTGGTGGCATTCTCTCAGAATCTCAACACTTAGGCATGGAAATAGGAGGATCTCTCGAGTTCACTGACTGGCCAGCCTAGCCTGCTTAGCAAATTCTGGGCCAGAGACCCAGAATTTTGGGGGTCTGTTTTTTTAAAGGTGAATGCTCCCTGAGGAATGATGCTTGAGGTTTACCTTTGGCCTCCATGTGCACATATACACCCATGTACATGTGAGTGCACCACATACTCACACAATATTCACGTATAACACACACACACACACACACACACACACACACACCCCACACACACACACCAGAAATCACACACACCACACATACATATGCAACACACACCATACATACACATACCACACACACACACACACACACACACACACACACACACACACACACACACCCTCTATACTGAAGCTGCCCTGAAGCTTTCCAGAAACAGTAAGGATTAACCCAAAGTGGGGGAGCAAACATTCCCAATACCACACTGACATCTCTGTCCAGAGTCTTCCCAGTAGCAACTCATTAGACTGACTTCTGAGTAGGAGCAGGCGTGGGGGAAATGGGGAAACTGAGGCACAGGAAACTTAGCTTTCCTGCCCATTGGAAACTGTCTACATTCCTCCTGCTAGTTCCTCCCAGTATTGAAAATGAAGACTTGGAGGAGGTGATCAAGGTACCCGAGGGACAGACTGTCCAGCTGGCGTGCAATGCCACAGGTGAGGGTGGGGAGCCTGGCTTAGCCAATCCCCGACCCGAGGTTACCCACCAAGGGTCTCTACACTTCTTCTCTCTGCATCCGCCCCGTTGATGTTCCTTAATGTCCGCTCTGCTCCTGGCTGAGGGCAGTCACCTGCCAGAACCTTCCACAGGGCCTCTGGCTGGCTGCTTCCCAGGTCCCAGGACTTCCTGGCCCAGCACTAACCACACAGGACCATAATGATCTGTTGTGTCTGAGCTCCTCTAGGACCCAGACCCAGGCTCCCCCTCTGCCTGGAGGACTAGGCTCCCCCTCTGCCTGGAAGACTAGGCTCCCTCCGATGCTTGAGGGCTGGAGGGTGGGTGGATATGAGCCTAGATAAAGAGAAGGGTGGTGAATGAATGGGGGGGGATAGATAGATGAATTTTTAAATAAAGATGATGGATGAGTAAAAGAATGGGTGGTAGGATAGGTGAGTGGCTAGTGTGTGGGTAGGGGGTGGATGGATGGATAAGTGGATGAAAGAATGGATGGATGAGGAGATGGGTGAATGGATGGATAGGTGAATTAATAAGTGTGCCTTAAGTGGGTAGAAAAATGGATGGATAGATGGGTGGATTATGGATAGATGGACAGAAGGATCCATACGTGAGTGAGCAGTAAGATAGGAAGACAGATAGACGGATGGAAGAGTAGATGGATGAATGTATCTTGCCTGTCTATATCAAGCCATCTCTGCCTAGTATCCCTTACGGCAGCTGAATTCCAGAAGAAAGGGCCAGGCTGTTCTGCTGTGCATACAGAATGGAGATGGAAACTCCACATCTGTGCTGGCCAGAGCCACCTCTAACCCCTGAGCCCATCTGGTTTGAGCTTGCTGAATGATCTGTCTCCTCTTCATATAGGTCACCCACCACCAAAGATCACATGGTTCAAAGATGGCCAGTCCCTGGTTGTTGGAGACCCCTATGAGATGTCCCCAGATGGGAGCTTCCTGTGGGTCTCCCAGGCCAATCTGTCCAGTGCTGGCCACTACTCTTGTATCGCTGCCAATGCGGCGGGGGAGAAGACCAAACACGCACAGCTCAATGTGCTGGGTGAGTGCTGCACCTCCCCCAGCCACCACCAAGGGTGACAGCAAACATAAACAGAAGAGCAGCCAGACGTCAGATCTCCATAGCAACCCCAGCTGGGGACCCGGCTTTCAGCACAGCCCTTCCGGTGACAATTCATGCCCAGACTGTAAGAGTGCCCCCTGCAGGAGCAGGAAAATGAAGCTTCGAATCCAGGAAGCAGTTAGCCAAAAAGTCCCCTCCCCCTCAGCAGGACCAAGAAGGTTTAGGTTGAATAAATAGTGAGGCCACACGTTGAGTCAACACTGAGAGGCACCAGAGACTGGATAGTCAACTTGCCCTGTAGTTGGAGCTCTGTGGTGGAGGAGGGCTTGGCTGCCCTGAGCTTCCACTTCCCATCATCATCACACAACTGCAACACCAAGGATAAGCCTGAGGCCCTAGCTGTCCTGGTCCTCAGGGTCCTTGGGCCCGATCTAGACTTGTTAACTAGGGCCTCCCTGCCGCCCCCTCACAGTGGTTCCCACCATCCTGGGAGTGCCCGAGAATGCCAACGAGGAAGTGACTGTGACCATCAACAATCCCATCTCCCTGATCTGTGAGGCACTGGCCTTCCCATCCCCCAATATCACCTGGATAAAGGATGGGGTACCCTTCAAGGCCTCTAAGAACATTCAGCTCCTCCCAGGTGATGCCCCTGGGGTGGGCTTTGGGAAGACATATGGTGGCCTGTCCCCAGGCTGGGTCAGTCTGAGCTCACGTCTATGGTAAAGCCCAGTTTGGGGGTAACTCTGGCCATGGCTCCCCAAGCAGGTACCCATGGACTACAGATTCTGAACGCTCAGAAGGAAGATGCCGGCCAGTACACCTGTGTGGTCACCAATGAGCTGGGGGAAGCCACAAAGAACTACCATGTGGAAGTCCTCAGTGAGCCCCTACCACCCCTGGGTCACCGGCTGGACAGGCAGAGGAGTCCTGGCCACACTTGAGACCTAGGGCACCTTCCTGTGTCTATTTTTCCGGAGAGTCACAGGCAGCTGGGGATGGGGGAAATCTGTCATTTTCCGTTCTTGCCTTGGTAATGGTAAAAGGAAGGGATAGTGTTAAGACTTTGGTCATGTTGACCCCAACACTCCCCCAGTCCTGGCTTCCTGTCACTTCTGGTGTGGAGATACAACCTGGGGTCCCTCAGTTTAACACCTAGGCCCCAAGAAGGCCCTCTAGAGGCCCCCCCAGGGATCCTCTGCTTCATAACCCCTGTCCCTTCACCCTCTCTAACCCTAAGTGGGTACAGATGGGTTCCCTTCTAGAAGAATCCTATTCTACCAGCCTTGTCTTTAGGGAACCACCCCTAGGGCCAGTGGGTCGGGGTCTCGGGCCCCTCCCCAGGTCTGCTCCTCACACATCCTGTGGCTTTTCAGTTCCCCCTTCCATCTCCAAAGATGACCCTTTGGAGGAGGTCAGTGTGAAGGAAGTGAGGACTAGAGTCAACAGCACCCTGACCCTGGAGTGTGAATGCTGGGCCGTGCCCGCGCCCGCCATCAGCTGGTACAAGGACGGAAGGGTGAGTGCAGGACCCCAGACAGCCTTAGACGCTCACCTTTGGCTCTCACTAGCCCTGTTCAGATCTTTGCAGAGAGAAGAGCCCTGAAGGCACCTAGCCCCAGAGCTGGCCCTTCTCACCCTCCAGTTTTTAATTTAAAACAAAACAAACACTTTCCAACCTTAAGTGACTCTGTCCACCCCTTCGCTTCTTTTCCACTTTCGAGGTCATACGGGTTTGGCTTGACAAAGTCACTGGGTGGTCCCATCCATCACTTTCTATTATGGTCTGACTTTCATTTATTAAAATATAGAGTAGGTTGCCAGGCAGTGGTGGTGCACACCTTTAGTCCCAGCACTTGGGAGGCCAGCCTAGTCTACAGAGTGAGTTCTAGGACAGCCAGGGCTACACAGAGAAACCCTGTCTTGAAAAAAACCATAGATAATGGATGGATGGATGGATGGATGGATGGATGGACAGACGGACAGACAGAGAGAGATTAGGGTGTACAGTGGCACATGCTTGTAATCTCAGCACTTAGTTAAGAAGCTGAGGCAGAAGGATCAAGAGTTCAAGGTCATCCTTGGCTACATAGAGTTGTAGGCCAGCCTGGGCTACATGAGACCTTATCTCAAAACAAATAAACAAATGATCTTGATTTTTATCTCAGTCCCTCTCTATCCTCCCCCAGCCTGTGACCCCTAGCCAGCGGCTCCATGTCCTGGGCGAGGGGCGGCTGCTCCAGATCCAACCCACACAGGTCTCTGACTCTGGCCGATACCTGTGTGTGGCCACCAATGTGGCTGGCGAGGATGACCAAGACTTCAATGTTCTCATCCAAGGTGCGTGTCACTGTAGGGTGGGCTGGGTGATAGCAACCAGTGGGCCCTAGACAGGGTGCAGGTTCCAGGTAGAAGGCTGTGACCCATGGTGTCAACACTGCCTGGGCATCAGGAGCCCTGCACTAGCTTAGGGCAAGGAGGCCCACATGGGCATTCCCCATTGACTGTCAGTCTCAGCACCTCAGAGGCAGAGCAGTTCTGTCTTCCCCGGTTAAGGAATGAGTTTCGGAAGATGGGGTTCCTGCCTCAAATCAGGATTAAATGGCCAGGAGGCAGGCAGGGGAGGAGGCAGGGAGAAAGGGAGCTGGAAAGGGGCCAAGGGGCTGGGGAGAGGTGGGGAGGAGACCTGGAGGCTGGGGAGAGGTGGGGAGGGAAACCTGGAGGCTGGGAGGGAGGCTGGGGAGAGGTGGGGAGGGAGACCTGGAGGCTGGGAGGGAGGCTGGGAAGAGGCTGGGAGGGAGACCTGGAGGCTGGAGGGAGGCTGGGGAGAGGTGGGGAGGGAGACCTGGAGGCAGGGAGGGAGGCTGGGGAGAGGTGAGGAAGGAGATCTGGAGGCTGGGAGGGAGGCTGGGAAGAGGCTGGGAGGGAGACCTGGAGGCTGGAGGGAGGCTGGGAAGAGGCTGGGAGGGAGACCTGGAGGCTGGAGGGAGGCTGGAGTCAACAAGGGAGTCAGAAAAGGAAGCAAGGAGGCTGGAGACCGAGTTGGGCAAAGGAAGGACGGGCTTTACCACACAGTGCTCTGCAGTGACTGATGAGAGAGCACACTTTCTCCTCCGCCTCCTCTGGCCCTCAGCTGCCTCACCCTGGCCTGTCACTCACTACTGAGTTGCATGACCTGGAGATGTCACTGGCCCCACCTCTGGGCCTTGGTTTCATCCTTTGCAAAATACAGGTATTCTAAGCCAGGCAGGGCAGCGCATGCCTTTAATCCCAGCATCTCAAGGCAAAGGCAGTTTGAGGCTAGCCTGGGCTACATAGTGAGACCCTGTCTCAAAGAAAGAAAAAGAGAAAAGATACTGGAGATGTGACTAAAGCGGGTGACCCGGGGGGTGGGGGGGAGCTTTCGGGTCCTCACTGCTCAGGACCCTTGCCTCTGTTTACCCACAAGCAAATGTGGGCTAAGGCCTGGCAGCTGCCTGGAGCCCTGCAAGAAGTGTCACGGAGTCATCTGATCTTATTTCATTTTGTTCTTCTGAGCCAGTCTTACCGTAGCCCAGGCTGGGCTGACGTTTGTGACACTCTTGCCTCAGCCTCCTAATCACTGGGACGACAAGTGTGACCACCACACCCGGCCACTAGGATCCTCTGAGGCCACCGGGATGTGACCTCCACAGAGCACGGAGCTTTTCCTAAAGCTTACATGGCGGCTTCATAGGCAGCCCCTGGGGGCGTGAAGAGAAGAAATGCCCTGGCCTGCCTGCAGGGTGTAGCTTGTGTGGCAGGGGCTGGCAGTGCCTCCCAGGCTGGTTGCCAACAGCAGTGAGCAGCTTTAACCCTTTATTATATTCCTAATGGCTTGTCTCCCTCCATGCAGTGCCCCCCATGTTCCAGAAGGTGAGTGATGTCGATGCAGGCTTTGAACTGCTGCCCTACGAGGAGGAAGTCCAGGGCCAGGTGACAGAATACCGGGAGGTCGTGGAGAACAACCCAGCCTACCTGTACTGTGACACCAACGCTGTCCCACCACCCGAGCTTACCTGGTACAGGGAGGGGCAGCCCCTGTCAGCTGCAGATGGGATCTCGGTTCAACAAGGTAGGCCAGACGTGCAAGGTGCCTGCAACGTGAGCTCAGGTGGTATGTGTGACGACTCTAGACCTTCGCTGAAATTTGCAAACAGAGGGTAAAGGTCGCCTGGCTTCCCTTGGCCTGCCCTGCTCCCACTACGGACCCTCTATGCTTCTGCCGTTCAGGCCCCACTGACTGCACCAAGGGGGATGGGCCGTCTCCTGGCTTAGCATCTGCGTGGTGCCTGCCAGGTCCAGACCAGCACTGGGGCTGGGTGGGGGCCAGGAGGTCCCATTATGACAGTCTCTGATGAACAGGTGTCCCAGGCTTTGAACTTGGCCCTTGCGGGAAAAGGAACCCTTAGGTCTCAGGGAAATACCATGCATGTGAGGCTGGTTTTCCAAGGTGGAAGTCCCTGGACTGATCCCTACGCTGCTTCTGACCTCAGCATGAGACCCTAGGCTCACATCCTGTTACTCTAGACTCGGTCAGGAGATCCTTAATGCAGACCCCAAACACAAGTTGATCCCAGCTATCAGTTAATCTCTGACACCAGCACTGATAGGCCCATATGCTAGCATTGACCTCCAACCCCACTGCTGACCTCTAACCCTAGCTACCAACCCTGAGCATGTTAGAGATGTGGTCACAATGTAGATCCTGGTCACAAATGAACCCCAGCTCTCACCTGAACCCCCGCTGTGGCCTTGGCCTCACCTCCAGAGCTTTGCATGTCAGGAGACCTTATTTCTGGCATGGTCAAGCCATCCACAGCCTTGGCTGGTGACTCCTCACCTGGAATCCTTAGCACACAGTGACCCTAGGTAGAGACCAGGTTCTGCTCCTGGTTGCCTCCTGATCACCAAGGGTCCCAGGCAACTCCTCCCTTGCTCCCAGCTGCCATTGCCCTAGAAGCTGCCGCTGCCTCTGAGAACACTTGCACAACCAGCCAACTACATCCTCTTGCTAACCCTGCCGGGGCCTTCATTTTCCCCATCTGTGAGATGGGCTACCAACAGCTCTCACACTCTAGAGCCTGCACCTGAGACCTGGCAGGCAGCAGGCCATTGACTGCACATGGACTTGATCCCCCCTTGACCTATGATCTGGGTGGACTGAATCTCACTTCCCAGATGAGGCCAGGGATGATGGCGACTTGGGCCCTCCAGAGGAGAAACAGCTCCCCTGCTCTGGAGTCAGGGCCCTTGTCCCTGAGCTCAGGCCCCTCCCTGTCCTATGTCTCTGCAGGAGGCCGAATCCTGCAGCTGTCCCTGGTGCAGGCAGAGGACGCGGGCAGGTACTCATGCAAGGCTTCCAATGAGGTGGGCGAGGACTGGCTGCACTACCAGCTCCTGGTGCTGAGTGAGTGGCTCCGGCCAGGAGGGACAGGGAGGCTCTGGTCCCGGAGAGGCCTCCTTCTGAAGGTCCCTGGGGGGTCAGGGGGTCAATTCCTCCGTGCTCAGAAGGTCTGTAATAGGATTGCAAGCTTGGTGTCTGAAACCAGGCAAAAGTAGCTTTAAAGTCCAAGACGGTCACTTTCTCACTGTGTGACTTTGAGCAAACTATAACCTCTCCAAAGCCCAGAATTCTTAGCTGCTTCCAGGCCTGAGAGATATAGTGAGGGGGGCACAAGGACCCTGGCAAGCATCTGGTACCCAGAGTCTTCCTCATTTCCACCATGTTTACCTCCAGCCCAATACCTAAAGCACTTCTCGCTCTCCCCTCCCACCCAGCACCACCGGTGATCCTGGGGGACACACAGGAGCTGGTAGAGGAAGTGACTGTGAACGCAAGCAGTGCCGTCAGCCTACGGTGCCCAGCTCTGGGGAACCCAACACCCACTCTTTCATGGCTCCAGAATGGGCTGCCGGTGTCCCCCAGCCCACGGCTGCAGGTCCTAGAGGAGGGACAAGTCTTGCAGGTAGGAACAGAACCCTCCCTGGGTAAAGGCTCCGGGAAGCAAGGGACAGTGTCATCTGGGCCTACAAAGGCCCATTAGAGCATGGGGGTGTATTCTGCGCAGCAAATGGCATCTGTGAGGAGCCCAACTGGTCATGTAGGGCTGCCTAGTGTTCATAAGTATCAGTCATTTCTGCCAAAGCAGGAGCACATGTGCCACACCCAGAACCAGCCCAGGCCTGGGGCGGCAATGCCTTGCAATCCTTGACCACCAGGAGCTAGACATACACCATAGCTGCAAGGCCCCTCCAGAGACCAGCACAGCCCCCACATGGCCTTCTGGTCCACTTAGCTACAGACAACCAACCAACACTAGTCTCCCATGACAGGTCTCAGAGGGACCGCTCCCGGTCCCTGTGAGCACCTGTGGCCCACATGTCTGCTATGGGGAGATAAGGATGCTCATAGCAGTGTGGGATGAGCCAGGGAGCCTCTGGATCCATTCAGAGCTGTCAGCCTTGGCCTCAGCACCAGTTTCTGTACCCTCAGGTTTCCACTGCGGAGGTAACTGATGCTGCCAGCTACATGTGTGTGGCAGAGAACCAGGCAGGTTCTGCAGAGAAACTCTTTACCCTCAAGGTCCAAGGTGAGATGGCAGAGAGGGGGCCTCTGTGAATTCCTTGTCTCTCCCTGAGGGTATCTGAGCACCTACACTCAGAGTTCAGGGACCCCAAAATGGCCCCAGCCACATCCCAGGACAGAGAACATTTGGGAGACTTCAGCCACACTTAGACTAACCTCAAGTTGCCGGGAGCAGCTTTGGGGGGATGTTGTTCCGAGGCCTCAGCTTTGGGGGGATGTTCTTCCGAGGCCTCAGCTTTGGGAGGGGGTGTTCTTATGAGGCCTCAGATTTGGGGAGATGTTCTTATGAGGCCTCATTTTTGGGGAGATGTTCTTCCGAGGCTTCAGCTTTGGGGAGATGTTCTTCTGAGGCCTCAGCTTTGGGGAGATGTTCTTCCAAGGCCTCAGCTTTGGGGAGATGTTCTTCTGAGGCCTCTGCTTTGGAGGGGGGTGGTGTTTTTCTGAGGCCTCAGCTTTGGAGGGGGGTGGTGTTCTTCCAAGGCCTCAGCTTTGGGGAGATGTTCTTCCGAGGCCTCAGCTTTGGAAGGGGGTGGTGTTCTTCCAAGGCCTCAGCTTTGGGGAGATGTTCTTCCGAGGCCTCAGCTTTGGGGAGATGTTCTTCCAAGGCCTCAGCTTTGGAGGGGGGTGGTGTTCTTCTGAGGCCTCAGCTTTGGAGTTGGGTGGTGTTCTCCCAAGGCCTCACAGCATCATTAATGAGCACTCACTGTGCACTTGACATGTGTCTAAAGGACTTTTTCCAGCAGAAGGAGTTGGCCTAGCTTTACAATTGTAAAATTACTCCAAGGGATAACCCAGGTGAGGGGGTCTTATCACCTCAAGTCTGCTGTTGACCTCTATGTCGCCATTAGCCCAGATGTGGGGACAGCTGTATCCCTGAGGATGGATGGATCAGTGCTGAGTCCTCAAAGTCACAAACAGCTGTCTGGGAGCTGCCACTGATAGCTGTGTGGCTTTGGGAGAACGGCCGTACAACTCTGATCAAGCCACTCTGTGCTCTTGTACAAAGTAGCTCTGACTAGTAAAACTTGCCCTCCAAGGGCTGTGTGGAGATACCCAGGGGTGGCTCTGGGAGCTTAGGCCGGATCCTTGGTGTGTCTCTCCCACCCTCACCCCTGGTCTGTGCTCCCAGTGTAAGTAAGCTCTCATTTCTGCCCTCATCCAGTCCCACCACAAATCGCAGGCTGGCATACCGACCAGCTCACCACCACCCTCAACAGCAGTGTCTCCCTCCCCTGCGAAGTCCACGCTCACCCAAGCCCTGAGGTCACGTGGTACAAGGATGGCCAGCCTCTCTCCCTGGGACAAGAGGTTTTCCTCCTTCCTGGTTGGTAAACGGAAGTTGTGCCCAGCTCAAGGCTCTGGTGGGGAGTGTAAGATGTTGTCCCAAACCTGGGACAGGACTGTCCATGTGGGAGCGTTAGGGACTGAGAGTGGCCCAGGGCCCTGTGGCTGCTGGTGCAGGGACCATTGTCCGGCAGGCACCCACACACTGCGGCTCGCACGGGCACAGCCAGCTGACTCCGGAACATACCTATGTGAGGCTCTCAATGCTGCAGGCCGAGACCAGAAGACAGTACAGCTCAACGTTTTGGGTATGTTCCTCCTGTGCCATCTGCTCTTCCCATGAGTCCCCGGGCGAACCCTTGACCTCCTCAAGGGGTCCTGTTTAAGAAGCACAGTCTCATGGCGATTAAATTGTAGTCTTTAGAGTCGGATACACCAGGGTTTGATGCAGCCATGCACAGGCTTGCTCTGTGACCTTGGGCTGAGTGTCTCCCCATCTCTGAGCCCCCAGATGTCCCGTCTGTAAGGTGACAATCCATATGAAGATGGGAGGAAGGGAAATGCAGCCCTTGGCCTACCGTCTGGCTCACAGTGAGATTCAGTGGTGGTCAAGTCGAAGGGGTAGAGCAGTGGCGAACCCTAAGAGCTAGGCCAGGACGGTCCAAGATCCTTGCCTGGTATCCTATGACAGCACTCTTGGTTTTTGGAATTCCCTGAGGGAAAGCTGGTCTGCAGTGCCAGCAGCCAGGGCTCTCTGGAAGGTTCTTTTCAGTTCTGGGACAGGTTCATTCACTTGTAAATGCATAGCTGTGCCAGGCCCTGAGGGCTCACAGCTGGGTGTGGATGCCTACATGAGTGCCAGGGGCTGAGAGATCACCATGGAGGGGCAGTGTCTAGTCAGGAGATAAGAAAACAAAAAAATTATCAGCATCTTTTTTGCCATCTAAGTACCAATGGCCACCAGCAGGCTCTGGTAGGCTGGCCTGGGTTCACTTCTTCCAGCAACCCTGGGTCAGGTCCATGGGGCTCCCTGGGCCATTTACCCATGATCGTATTGGGGCTATGTGGGCAAGGCCACTGGGCCTCACTGGGCTTTCCTGCCCTTAGTTCCTCCCAGCTTTAAACGGGCTTCTGGAGGCCCCCAGGAGGCCATTCTGGTCAGAGCAGGGGACAAAGCCATCCTGAGCTGTGAGACAGACTCACTCCCAGAGCCAGCTGTGGCCTGGTTCAAGGACCAGCAGCCCCTAGCCCTGGGGCAGCGGATTCAGGGTCTGCAAGGTGGACAAAAACTGGAAATCCTGGACTCACAGGTCAGTGGCCGTGGGCAATCTGAACGTGGACACAGCACTTCTGACCCTAGAGGCCTGGGGAGGGAGGTGGGAGGTGGTGATAAGATGTGGGGGGGTGTCATCTCCTTGACCCAAGTAGATGCACAACCCCCTGCAAGCGATCTGGGAAAGGCCTGGACTCCAGCCCCTGCTCAGGTCTGCCTCACAGTGACCTTGAACAGAGCCTTCCATACCGGTGCAGGTCAGGCTCTCAAGTGTTTGTTGAATGAATATGTATCTCTCCCCTGAACATCCCCTCTAGTCTCCTACCTTCTGACCCAACTCCAGCCCCACAACAAAGGGCAGACCAGGGCATACTGGGCCAAGTCTGCTCTCCTCATCTCTAGGGTCTCCACTTCC